TGTTTGTTGTTGACAAATGTACACGACGTTAAATAAAGATCATTTATTTATTTAATGTATTTACTTTGTTATAGACATGCTAAGGTTGTTAGTAATAAATCATGGTTTATCATAAATTCAACTTTTTGATGATTAACCTCTACACGTGTATCACCTACAGACGAACTCATAACAGTAGTCTATAATGATGACCGCACATTAGCACATGATTAATGTTTTCGAGTACACGGCTCATTATTGTGTTGTTATTGAAAACCTACCAACTCGTAATAGTGAACAAGAACATTCTATTAAGACTTTGCATGAAAAGCGAGCAAAAGTGCGTGATATTTTTCAGTTCATTTGGAAAGTTTTGCAATGGAAATACAACAACTAAACATGCTTTAAATTGCAGTAAGAGTCTTATCATGTGTATTGTAGAAGCCTTGACGTAATGAGGTTTCCTGTCTTACATAGTATGCTGCTCACTGATTTCGAAAACTCAATTTGAAAAATTGACAGCGTTAGGTGTGTCTCCCGTTTTAACCGGGAAAGATCAGCTCGTGCCAAATAGCATGTGTTCAATTGTGACGTCATTAAAATGTGTCTCCGGTAAATGTGACGTCATCAACAGTGAATGGCGTTATTCATACTCAACATATGTTTTTATTTTCAAACATAGCAGACTACTGTCGGTGGAGTTGTGACTGAAATGATATGATGAGAGAAAAATAATCATCCCCCACCTTTAGGGGGTAACGGAAAAATCTCCAACCCTTGGGGCGATTTTTTTGGTTGTCGAACACTCGGCAGATGCTCAGTTTAAGACAGCCAAACTAAAAAACCTCAGTCTCGGTCTAATATTATATAAATCTACATTCATTAGAGTGTGACAGTGGCTAGGGTTGCCCGATGTTATCACTGATATCAGAGGGGTGATCCTATCAAAACAATCAAGGATATCATCCGTCGGATTCGAGGATTCTCTGTCATACCCTCAATGTACAAGAAGATTATATTAATCATCTATTATGTTCTGCATCTTAAGTCGTAAATGACTAATATACTTTTCTGGATTTGACAGGAGATTTGACCGTGCAACATTTGGTGTCGACTTCATTTATTGTCGGAATAATGATCCTAACGATTGAAAGTCATCAGTCGGATATTATAAAAATCGAGTTATATTGCTAGACGATAACACCCTTAATTAGAGAACTAGTTTTTCGGTTGAGATACTAGACACAAGAAAGAACAAAGAGTCAACCTGTACAGAGCATAGCAAGATATACGATAACATCATAGAATGGGACAACGAAGTGCGAGAAAGAAGGGGGGTGGTGGAAATAGAGGAAAATCCAAGAGTTCGATAAATGTCAATTATTCCTGATCTGACTAACCTAGGTCGTTAGATAACCGTAGAATGTCCCGATAGTATTTGCCAGATAATAATGCTAGCCTCCGCTGGATAATTAGGCTACACAGGTGTCATTGCCACTGTTTATGTTATGCTATCTGTTCACATTCAAAAGATATCAAAGGTCATTGGACTCTTAAAATACATCTTGTTTCCAAGACCCCTGTCCACTAAAGCAGACAAATGTTGCCGTCAGAAATGGTTTCTTGTGTGTTGGACAGTTGTCCGCTTAATTAGATTAGGTTAAATAATAATTAACATCTGACATTTGTCTTCATCCACAAACCATTAATAATTATGTTTTACTCAATTTAAAATTTCCTTTCATAAGAAAATATTTACATGGTCTATTATTTACATCCATTTTTTCCAAAATATATAACATTTGTTATTCATTTTGTTTACCTGACACAGACAAAGGACTCTTGAAATCAGAAGCAGGCGAATGATAAGAACTGTTGGTTTAACGTCCGCTACTTTAACCCCAACACAGAAAGTCGAGCCAGTATAACCTATACACCAGAGTTCATGGATGTCTAACCATTCGGTCGACCACTTGAGTAAAATTCTAATAGACAGGAATGTATATATATAAATGTGACGATACATGGTTGATGAAGACAGTAGCAGCTTGGGTTAATGACGTTTGATATAAAGTCAAACACCTTGCTATGCTTAATTAAGACACGAGAATGATGTATTTCAAATGGACACAGTTTATTGTTAGGCCATAAATATAACACAATATATGCATGTTTTTGTTCCAGATAAAAGATCACAGAGACTAATTAGTGTGACTGGTTTTGACAGCTTCCATATAGAAGATAGCCGACGAATACTGACCCCTAGGTCACTAACTTCTTCACAAATGTATATGATACTCTATATTAATAACCTCAACACGAATGTCTTTCAAAGTATATTAGGCGTTGACGGATAATGTGAAAGTGGCCTTATGGACACGAACAATGGCAAAACAAAAAAGTATTTATTCAAACCTATTACGGTATGTTGTATACAACAACTACAATATATTGACCATGCAGTGATGACAGAGGAACACTCTTTGTCGATAGTCATTGTATCTTTTACCGTTATAATATACTTTGTTTCTGATGTACATGTACATATGCAGTTAAAAACTTAGAACATCAAAGAAATGTAAAACGGCAGATGAAAAGAATGTCATTGAAAACCGAAATGTTCTGTAGATACAGTAATGATATTATTATCCCTCAGTTTGTTTTTACATGTTTATGGAACTGTACCTTTGTATTATGATCGCCAGTAAAAACTGCGAATTTGACCACGATAGTATGTATTTGATATTTACAAAATCTTTGTTTAAACTTATATTTCCAGTTATTTTTAAACACATGTACAATAAACTGTCTTTTCGTAGAGCCATATAGATTATAGGTATTAATGTTTAAGACAGCTCCTATATAGAAAATACCCAACGAATGTTTACCCTTAGATCAATGACTTCCACATATCTTGCCGTCGTATAATACATTACCCTATTCACAATATATTATTTTCGTATGCAGTATGTAAAATAGCTTTTGGGGTATATTTATGTTTTTTTATTATTCCATCGTTTATTCACGAAATTCAAATGTTAACGTTTAATAATGAGCATGTGGTTTATATGCGAGAATTGCTTCAAATATTGTTTAAGTAAAGTGTTACCAGTTTTAAATATGAAATGTCTGTGTTTCCAAATATTAACAACTTTAACCCAAGCTTATAACGGTATATCACAGTATACTATGCGTTGACTTGTATCGCTAAGTGAATTTAATGAAACCTTCTATAAGCATATACATGTATATATATATTGCCATATTTTTAGTGTTTGGCGTTTTATCTAATTTTTATTGTTTAATGTTCTGTTTTGCGTTCAAACCTGCTCGAATTGCAACCTATCTTAAGAGGCAACATGTTTTTAGAGACTACATTAAAAATAAATCGATTGCAGTTGTTTTCATAATAAATAAACCTGCATTTTCAGATAACATGCTATAGAAGTCCACTTTATAAAATTCCCAAGATATATGTGCATTACTCTGTCACAGCCGTCATTTAGAATCCCATAACATGCAGGTTTTGTTTTTAGTTTTGATAATTACAAAAGAAAAATCAATTTCAATGTTACTGAAGTTTGTAATAAAGCTACGAAGGTTAACAACTGCCCGGATAGTTATAAAATTGATAAGATGTACACATGCCGGCATTGCAGGCATACCTTTACATAACTCCATTAAGAACTTACAGTATACATACTGATATCGCTCTTTATTATCGCCATTATCTTAAGCCGCATTCCGTCGAAAATGAATCGTCTGCTATATCCTCCGTTTGTCAAATACGTAAATATAGGCAGTGCACCTGTACTCAAACTAGTAACAGGACTTATTGAAGCTCACTGACATGTAAAGTCGTCAGATTTGATTTTTGTTTTCCAACTGTTTTGAGTCTATCAATCATTCATTGTCTGGTACTATATTGTAAGTTAGGAATTCAAAAACATGCTTTTGGCATTTTGGACCTAACAGATTGATCTCAACAAACTTAAAGTTAGGGTACGTAGGTTTCAAAAACAAGATCCTAACGTATCCACCAGGTAAAAATAGTTTATTAATGATGTTAAGAGTTTATTTTATGGAAAGCGAAAAAATAGTTTCAACATCAATGTTAATGGTTTATTAAGCTGACAGCTTTTCGTATAAGTATCAAACGCAGTCATGGTTTTTGAAAATACACAGGATATTTAATTTGTCATTTTATGGATAGATATATATTAGATTGTTTTGTGGGTAAAGCCATTAGTAAAACAAGCGACTTGTCCTTACATTTCCGCATTTGTGTGGCAAGCCAATTAATGTCGTGCGAATTCCTCGACAGTAGTATGTTCAGTAGGAGGGTATGAAATATATATGTACATTATACGGCAAGTACACAGATATTGCGGACGCCATGGGGTTCATTAATATATATTCTCAGCCAATCAAATAATTCCCTAGCGGAAGTGTCTTGTAGGTAAAGGCAATCTCATTTATTGAATTAATGGGCGAATTTCATCACACAAGTACCTCTCCACACATTTTTATTTCGTGGCTTTAATGTTGTGTTTTATTCGATGATTCTATGCAGTTCATATCATATTATTGTGTGTGCTTAGTTATATTAATATTCATAAAATTCAATTATTACATACTTAATTTAAGGAAAGCATATTTATGACAATACTATGTAATATATTTCTTAATAGCACATAACATAAGTCAGAACACAGAATAAACTGATTTAAAGTTCCATGTCGATATCTAAACGATATAAAGATATCTAGGCACTCACAATGTTATTAATTTTACACAACCTAAACAAACAAAGAAGCGACACCTACACGTGTTTCTGTGAAGGTAGTAGCAATGTTAAGTAGTTCGACGTGTATATGTGTGTATGTATTGGCTTACAAACCTGGCCATTGAGAATGAAGCTCCGCCCCTTTTGTATAACACCAAATACACATGCCTGTGAAAACACGCGGGTCAAAGGTCACAGCAATCTCCTGTTTTCTCGGTATATGACACAGTGCTCGTGTATATAACAGGCGATGTTAGCGATCACACAACACACTCGACAGAGCCTCAATACTTGGTGGTGTACACTTATCCGCCGTATAGTATAGTGTTATGAAATAGCAACAACTGTCTACAATACAATTATCTCCTGCCATTGGATTACGAATATCATTTGTAAATATATATACTGAAGAAACATAGTTGGACTTTCAGTTGGCCTAAAGCAAGACTCACACGATGAAAATGTTGCTGTCTGTGCCTAGGACCGGACAAACCACGTGTGGATGTGGATCTCTGGTTAACGTGAATGTCAACAAGAAAGAGGGACTTGAAGTAAAATCAGGTCAGTTATACATGCTCCAAGAGCAAAATAACAAAATGAGAAAACTGCCAGTGTTTGTACGTGTCTACAGAAACAGATTTGAGCATTATGCAGTTATCTACAGAAACCAAACATTTACCAACAATTCCATCTATATCAGCTTAAAGAACTGTGCAGTGCGCCGATGTGACACGAAAGACAACGGTATTGTTGTTATTCCTGATAACATGGAGGGAACAAAAATGACATTTCAGACCAAAGAATCTCAAGAAATGGAAGACTGGATTTCAGCATTCCATTCCATCAGAACACATCATCCACGAAAATCCACCGTTCACCAAATTATGTCTCCTGTCATTCCACGGACGCCTTTAATGCCATGTCTACAGGAGGAAGAGGAGTGACAAATCTATTGAACTGTTTTATAAGATGGACATATGTCTCAATCGGTGCAGATTATTGTAATGTGTTGTGCAGAAATGACAATTAAGCCAATTCCCAGGACAAAATAGGAATAGATTAGCCAGCATTTGATTGACAAATTATAATGACGATGTCACCAAAAGGAGTAAAACTCTGCTAAATTTTTAAAGTTGACATTTTGTGTAAAGAAAATAAGGATTCAACAGTGAAAAAGAAAACTGGAAAATGCATATCCTGTTTTGAAATTTTGATATTTTAAATCCGGTTTAAGAACGTAGGCATTTCTTGTTCTGCTTTGTTGTGTTAATGAAATCGGACATTTAAATGTTGAAGATTATTTATTTTAATTTTAAGACATTCCAGATGTTTTACAAAAGTGAAAGACGTTAAACATAATTGAGCAGGAAAGCTGTGATGGATATTTATTACCGCTACATGTGATAGATGTTATCAGTTATTGTCGTGTTGTTGTAAGATATGTATGTTTACTAAAACAGAGTGAGAATGAAAGGTAAACGATTGTGTGGCTGTGTATCGCGTGCTACTGAAAGAATGTTTGCTGGTTGTAATTAAATTTAAGTCGGTGATACTATTCCGGTAGCATTGAATGATATCATCATTTGGTTACTATTGTTAATAAATTTAAAACACTGAAAAGAATTTCAAGCATTTCTTATTCCTTTTGTGTTGTCTGCCATGTGTGTGTGTGTGTATACATACATGTTTGGTGTCTTGTGTCTAGAAACCGGAACAAATCCACAGGTGGGTGTTTACATACCTGTACCGTTTCACATCGAGACACGAAACATGTATTATTTATACAGTGTAATAAATATGACGTCAGACCTTCTGAAAAGACAAGGAATAAAATCTCTGAAGTAGGTCACTCAGCTGACAGATTATTTATCATTGTGTCTTTCCGACCGATGTCTTATCTTAAAGAGTCACGAAATGTGTGGGACAAGGTGAATATACTGTATTGAAACCGACATTTTAAAGAGGTTCAAATGACATGATCGACGTATAAAATGACATGGGGTTTATCTGCTTCTGAAATATCCGATATTTGGTTGTTTGCATTATACATTTATTAATAACGCTTTAAAACATTTCTGCACATAACATCATTATGTTCCTTAGGTTTTCGTATGAAAATCACCAAGAAAACCCAGAAATGTTTCATGAAAAGCACTAATCATGCATAGATTGAACATAATACATATTGTTGTATATGGAATCGTCAATGAATTGTAGGGGAAAACACAATCAAACATTGGGTTGTTTTTTGTATAACTTTTGAAAAGAGGAAAGTAAGGTTATTGTATTGACAGAAACACATGTGTTGTTCAATTATCTTTATTACTTTCTTACACTTGGGATTACAAACCACACACGCAACATAGCAGTGAAATAATTCGGTTTATTACTTAACAAGTTTTCGGCAAAGATTATTCCACTAGGATAAAACACATATCATTAAAACTCTCACAACATCTCTTAAGTAAAACAGGTAAAACGAAAATTCACACCAAGAGGAATTCGGTGAAAGCGTAAACAAAATGTAAGAAATAGTCGCGGTTTTACATAACTACACACTTTTCACTTAGAAAAATACCCACATAGCTTAGCAAGAACCACTTGAAAATAGACCGGCACAACTTCCTGTTTGCACAGAAAGTGCAAGTTCAAAGGTTATGGGAAAGTAGTGAGCTCTTTCCGGTACACACTGTATCAAACCTCTGTTCTTCGTATCTTTGTTTAACATTCAACTATGTCTAGGTCAACGTAAAGCATGGGAAATTCAATTGTTAGGATCGGTATTTGCATAACTCAAATGCCTTATTGCTCTGATAAGTGAAATCAACATGGTTCCATATGCATTTTTGAGGTTTCAGTATATAACGTAAAAACACAATGATGGAATACAAATCAAAATATTCGTAAATTATTTGCCTTTTCTTTGTCTGCTTGAAATAATTTACAATTAAGTAAATCCATTTTTGTTTTAGTTACATTGTTTATAAAAAGTATTAATTGACAGCACACTTGCCCATGCCCAATAACTTCCAGTTAACATTATTTGAAGAGTACACACTGTGGCTGGTGCAATCCTGTACATACATTGCAATTAAATCGTTGACGAAAGCAATGTTAATAGGGGCGTGAGTAAGTCTATAATGTTTGCTTTCGATCGGTAAATTACTACTAGCAGTTATCGGGTGATTCCCACCAGAGTAGGCGCGGTAATTCGCTATCTTTATTGACCGTAAATCCCACATCTTAGTAATAGTATTAGACAGGGACGTTACTACGGTAAGGACGTGTGTAAAAATAGACTTTCGGTTTTATAGAACCCACACACACACTAGATCGAGAGGAGGTGAATGCATTTCGTTAATGAAACCTCTGATCCTTCCTTCGATCCGATAGTTTTACCCGATAATATGTGGGAGTGTCGATTTAACATTATAACACCGTGCAATGAGTCATTCCAGGTGAATGCTACAGAAAAGCCTGCCTAATAGGAAATATCGGTGCATCAAAGATAAACCCCAATAAATCACTTACGTCGGTTAAAAATCGGTTAAATGTAATTTAAGAAAATAAAAGAAAATAATGGTGCTTTTTTCCGCGAATAAACAGAAGCTTGAATTAATAAATCAAAAACTGAATTGTACTTCCCACTATGACGTGTCAAATAAATCACATTTCAGGTGTAGATATCCAACAGACGACTTTCTTGTTTTACTATAAGATTAAAACTATGCTTATTGACTTAACGTTTTGTTTGAATTATCTATGAACTAACAAATGTGTTCCAATACCGGCAATAGAACAATATTCATTCGAAAATATACTCAATGAAAAACTATTGATGTTTTGAAACAAAACAAAACATGCCTTATATCTAGAGAATTGTTAATTTGAACATCTGTTTGGTTTAGGTTCGACCCCAGAGGTCTTGGGGAACCTGTTCATGGTAAAGCTATCCCATAGCTAGGGGGAAACTTATGTTACACATTTACATAGCACAACATGAATTAAGAAAAGAATAGTGACACTACCACCTGGAAGTAAACACTTTGACTTATAAAAATTGAAAAATTTCCATCCCGAGCACCTTGGGCTCTCTGAGTGTTTTGAAATATTATACAGATTAGTTTTAAATATCGATAAAGTTGTACGACCGAAAAACAATCCCAACCGGGTTTTATTTTTTCATAGGGGAAAACCGTTCGGTTTGCTTTACCCAGTAATGTACATATGTAGGTGCAGCAGCAAATATTAGTTCCGGGAATATCGGCGGCTTATGTATATAATTAGTTCCGTGTCCCCTAGGAGGACACAGAACATACTTGTTGTCTTCCTCAGACAATATCGTGTAAAGGGCAACGTTCGTAGTGTATCAAATTTACGAGTAGATATGTCAGCAGCTGACAGTGAACAACCTTGAGGTCAAAGAAAGGGAAAACACGTCTACTATCTAGTGTACGTTGCCTTCTCATAACCCCCAGAATAATTCAAATATGAATGATATTATTCATATTTGTTTGGTTTCGGGCTCTATGTATATCTGAAGATGATGTTAACAGAAAACGGGCAATGTAATTACTACTTACATGTGCATATTACGGAAATGTCTATATTAATATTCAGTATATTCGAAACAATTATATGATGCTGCGCACTTCCACATTATTTGTACTAAAGCCTGTCTAGGTTTTATATAGGAAAACACTCTTGAAAAGAACAGTTGGCAGGACAAAAAAAAAAATGAAAAAAAAGGATAAAGAAGTCATGATCAAGTGTTACAATTGGTACAGCAGAGCAAGTGGGGTTTCTACTGTGTGCTCCTGTTACCACGAATCTGCAGGGGACCCATATTATAGTTGCCTTTTACAAACATGTAGTGGGAGCAGGCAGGCCATTTTTAATGTCCTCAAATCTGTCTGTGTTATCATGATACAATCATAAGAATATAAATATAATATGTCAGAAACAATTAAATAATTTACGTTCAGCTAAGGATTATCGCATAACTGATAACAAATACTTTCACGGTATTTACTATGTCACATAGTAAATTTTATATCAATTGGAGTATATACAATGTATGTGTTTATTCTTCTATCGATGATAGGATATCTTTGAGATAAAGAAAGATACTTATCATGCGTTACACAGATCGTTTATCTATTAAAGGATAAACATCTGAAAATCAAAATTATAATCCAATTAAATACATGTATGCAGTGAATGATCTATTACGAATAAATGTGAGACTGAGGCTAAGAGGGAAATGAAAAATATAACATGCGATAATGATATTGGTGTTGCATTGAAATATCTTAGGTGATATTATATTATTGTTTTTATCAGATCTCCAAATATTGTTTCAATAGTGTATTATTTAAATACATATTATCGTTATTGTATCTGAATCCTTAGGTAGGGGATCAGGAGATAAAACTTCGCACTTCAGTCTGTCTGATTCATGTGTCATACTCTTTTTAGAGGTACTTAAGCTAGTCTCTTTTGTCGATAGGTCGTGCTCGGAATTTCCCTTGGATTAAAAATGCGAGGTAATACTGGTATTCTATTTTATCACTTTAGTTTCTCAGAGAGATTCGAGCAGGTTTACTTTTATTGCTTAATGCTCCTACAGTGTTTGATCATAAACATGAGATCATCGACCGTAATGATACATATCCGAATCATGAGTAATTGAACTCGTATGAGTAATGAGTATACCATCCAAGACTAGAATAATCTAATCAGGAAACTGAACAATAACTTGATAGCTAACAAAGGCACCACTAATCCCAGTCAATCACCTACAGAACATTACCTTCATGATACCTTTGTTCAACACTCATGTAACATATATGTGGTGAACAATTACATTATTGAACACGGTATAAACCAGATGGCATACACATGTATACACATGTGGATGATATACTTCCCGTAGCAATTATATAATAAATGTTCACTCCTGACGAGTATCTGTTTTATATATTTGGTTATTTGGATGTAACTTCTCTCAATTTAAACTTATGTCGTGTTCTGCTCATAATGTTAGGCCCGCGTACTTAATGTTATCTTTATATAACATGGAATGTTAAATTAACACTTCATGTTTGATAAACTGTCCAATTATGAGATATATTCACATCGTAAAATATGTAAAAATAAAATCTTTAACTTCATATACCAGGAATCAATCCACTTGCATTCCTTTACCAGAAGGCTTCATTCTAACACGATTTGTGTATATATCAGTAACCGTACCTAGAGGGTAAACAAGAACATTTAGATTCGTTTTGATAAATGTGTAAAATCAGAAAATTGTCTGGCACACTGGTACAAATGCTCCTGGTTATTGTGTGCTAGATTCTAGCATCTCTTGGTCTTCTTTACTTTGTCGTTCTTGTTTGAGAAAATACGTTCCCAAGTGCTGGGGAATCGGAACATATGTTCTCAAGTTGTTCTCAGGTCGTTCTCAACTTCTTCTCGTACTGACAACCTGTGATAATGAATTTAAGGTGGTTTAAAGTAGTATATAGATGATAAATATAGATATCACATTTGATGAATCAGTAAACGTATTTATGGGAGAGAAAAAAAGATTAGTTTGATAAATGTGTAAAAAAATTTAT